CACCCCACTGCTAATTGCTCAAAACCATAGGGACTCCAGAGATAGATCTCCCTTTCTCTTCCAGTCTTTGGGAACCCCCCAAAAGTAATTTTCTGCTTCTTCGCCTAAAAAAGCTAAGCTTGGTGATGGAGGCCAGACTTTCCTGCCCCAGGCAGGATGTATAAACAGCTTTTTGTATTTCAGAGCCAAAACTTCTGTCCTAGACAATTGGGTTCTTATACATAATGAAGGGCAGTTACTCCTGAAGGAAACCATGGAGATTCCACTGCTTGGCATTGAAGCCAGCAAGATTATCCTTCAACCACCCCACACACCACCCACCCCCACCCCAACAGCCAGGTGGATTCCTTGCCACCAGGGGAATTCTGCAGGCAGGAACTGTGGCAGATGTCTGCACCTGCTCCCCACACAGCTCTTGGAGCTGGCAGAACTCAGCCGGCTGCACAGAAGGACCTGGGACCTCGGGAGCTGAGACCCTCTAGACTAAGCCGGTGATGAATATAAGCCAGGGGAATCCTGATGGGAACCTAGGTTCTAGTTCTGCCCCAGCTCAAAAATCACTTGGTAAGCAACTGCTAAATACGATTTTCTGTGACTTCCTCTCTGCCTCCCACCTAGGCATGCCCTACTGAATCCTGCTGTCCCCATCACTGACAAAGCCGTCCCACCAGCAAAGACTCAGCAAGTCTTCCCTCCCTGGGCACATAAGAACATCTCTCAGAGATCAGCTTTTTTGGTTTCTGAGACCATGGTTTCATGCACCTACAGGAAAAGCTGGAGGGCTACAGAGGACTTTCTCCCACCCCCAGTCCTGCCTCCCCATCCCTAAACACAAACGCTGAGATAATCCAGGGCCAACACAAAGGAAAAAAGCTGTTGACAGATCACCCAGCAAAAGGGTGGAACTAAATCTGCCCATAGAAAGGACTTGCCAGGGGTTGGACACGACAGCCTGGGCGGGTGCAGGCGCTGGGGAGACGCCCCTGCACTTGGCAAGTTTCTTTCTGGCTTGCTCAGGATCCTCAAGCACAAATGAACTCTAAATTCTCTGGATTCACATGACTCCGTGATTCCACGTCCTAAACCTGGCACCCTATTAGTTGTCGGTGAAACGTTAGCGTTTCAGCGTTCTAATAGTCGGTGCTATTGAGATTCTCTGGCACCGGCTCGGCGCCTGTGGCTCAAGTGGCTAAGGCGCTAGCCATATACACCTAAGGTGGCAGGTTTGAATCCAGCCTGGGCCTGCCAAACAACAATGAAGGCTGCAACCAAAAAAATAGCCGGGCGTTGTGGCGGGCGCCTCTGGTCCCAGCTACTTGGGAGGTGGAGACAGGAGACTCTCTTGAGCCCAGGAGTTGGAGGTTGCTGTGAGTTGTGATGCCACAGCACTCTACCCAGGAGTGAAAGCTTGAGGCTCTGTCTCAAAAAAAAAAAAAAAAAAAAAGAAGAGATTCTCTGGCACCAAGCAAAGCTCCCCTTTGACCCAGTGAAGTTATGACCTTCCACTACCTTTCGCTTCGTTTCCCTCCCCACGTCCAGTCCTTCCTCCTCCCCCGCCCCTGGCGCCCCACCTGGTTCAAAAGAGTGTAGAATGCATTAGGGCATTAAGGCGAGGAGAGGTTCTGGAAAGTTACGTTTCCTGCGTCGCCCGCCCAACTGTCACTCCGCGGCTGAAAGTGCTGCTGGGGGTATCCCCACCCTCCGTCCACGACCCCGGCTGTCACCTGGCGCCTGAAGCGCTGCACCGCCTTGTCCATGGTCTCCAGGCTGGCTCGCTGCCTCTGCCGAGCTCGGGCCGCCGCGGCCCGTGCAGTCTGGTGTCCGGACCAGCGCAGGGCCACGGCCACCACCACCAAACAACAAGCCAGGGCAACCCCAGAGGCTCCATACAGCATGGCCCACAGTTCGTCCAGCACCATGATCTCGGGCCGCCAATTCCTGCTGACAGCCACAGATGAAGAATCAGCGCTCGCTGCCCGAGCCCTCAGCCGCAAAACCCGGCCTGGATCAGCCCAGGATCCCGCGCCGCCGGCGCAGGAGGAGCAAGGCCGCAGGCCCGCGGGGGAGCGCGCCGTTACTCAGCCGCGAACCCGAGGTCGGCGGCGCGCAACGGTCAAAGTCAAGCTGGGAGCGCTCCCTTATCCTCCCGCACAGGGCCAGGCGGGGCGGAAAGGGCACCTGCTTCGCGTGGGTGTTCTCCTAAGCACGAGTTTATCCCCAGTGCCTCCACACCTGGCCCAGCCTCCTCCCCTAGCACCTCAGGGCCCCAACTCCCGGAAGACGAGGCCCAGCCGGAGCCCCCTGTGGAACAGTTCAACCAAGAAGACCGAAAGCAGAGGCAGACTGGAGTCAGGGAACTTATTAACCTCTACAAACTATTTAGCAAAATCCTTCCTGGAGAACCAAGTGTACGGGTCGTGCACCGCAGGGCACCCATCTCCACCCCCCCACCCCCGAGTGCAGGGGCTTCCGGGATGCCAGCCAAAACGGACACAGGAAGTTCCTCTGGGGCGCCGACCCACTGCCCTCTCCTTTTCTCCCAATTCCGACCCTCTGTCTCTCCCCCTAGACTCCACTTCGTGGCCCAAATCGCCCATCACTTGTCCTTTGGCTAGACCAGTTTCCAGCAGGCCTGCTTTCCCAAGGTCACCCTGTCCCAGCCCTGGGCCATCCTAGATTTCACACTCAGGAAGCAGAAGGAATGTGGGACCAGGAAGAGTCTGGGTACCTGGTGCCCTGGGGGAAAATCACACTCACCTACTGCTATTTAGGTTTCTCTCAGAGAACTTTTGTTTCTGTGCTTTATCTCCTCTGTACTTCCAACAGCCTGAGGAGAAAGGTATTGTTACTTATGTTCATTTTACTTAGTAGGTAACTAAGGACGGGAAGCCCCTAATAACTTCTCTGGTCTCAGGGAGTGGGCAGTGATTCAACTCAGGTCTAATGGGAAGCTGGGTCTTAACCTTCAAGCAAAACCACTTCGCTGTGCCCTTGGGGCTGAAAATCCTGTCTCATGAAACACTAGAGGAGGAAGGGGATGGTTCTTTACCTCTCAGAACCTGAGCCTTTATCTGTAAAAGGGGAAGGGTTACGTACAGGATTGTTGGGGTGTTCAGTGAGGTTCTTTAACAGTGGGGCCTGGCACATAGTAAGCCCTCCATAAACAATTATGAACTGAATGAAAGGCCTAGGAAGAATCCAGCTTCAGGCCCTTGAGTCAGGTTCTTGAGCTTATCCAGGAAGGGCCCAAAGCCTTGTGTTTCTAAGTCTTCAGTGCCTTTACAAGTTTCAAATCCCTATTCCTGTTTCCCAAGAAGAGAGGAGCTGAAAAGTACAGATGATGGAAACCCCAATCTGAAGGGTGTGGGAGCCAAACTAATTAACTCAAGTCACAACTCAAACTACCTCCTTTTGTTGTTTATTCAGAACAACAGGCCGCTGCATACCTAGGACCTTATCATACCTAGGTGTTACAGCCCACATCCTGACACCCTCCCCTTTGTCCCACTAGCCCCCTTGTGCACTCAGCCCACATCCTGACCTACTCCCGTTTTTTGCACTCCTCACGCCACTCTACTCTGCACTCGCCCCACTTGCGACTCCTCCCCTTTTTGCACTCACCACTCTACTATGCACATGCCCCACTTGCGACCTTTATCCCTTCCTTCTCATTCACTCACTTGAGACAAAGAAGACTGGTCCCTGAGCCAACCAACCCTGAACAGGACCACCCTGTACCTGTCAATTTAAACAGACATGGTTTACCTACCAATAAGGGGACGGGGTGGGATGGTCTAATGGGAGGGAAGAGGGAGAGGTATAAAGGGACTTCCTGGATAGTCTGTAAGGGCGGTTCCCGCTATTTCTTAAAGGGCAGCCCTGGCTCTGAGCTTGAATGAATAAAACACCTCGTTCCTTTGCAGCGATGTTTGATGTTCGGACTCTCAGAGTGGTGCTTGAATTGAGTCTGGGGGTTAACAGGGGTTCTATCTATTTCTTTTTTTTTGAGACAGTGTCTCACTTTGTTGCCCTTGGTAGAGTGCTGTGGCATTATTGCTCATAGTACCCTCAAAATCCTGGACTCAAGTGATCCTCTTGCCTCAGCCTCCCGAGTAGCTGGAACTAGAGGCGCCTGCCACATATGCCCAACTACTTTTAGAGACGAGGTCTCACTCTCACTCTTATGAGGTCACTTCACTTCATCTCCTAATTAAAAGAACAGGATTCTAGCTCAATTCACCCATCACTTGCTGGTGGACCTTGAGTAACATTAAATTTTTCCTTTTGTAAAATGAGATGTATTCTTCTATACCAGTGTTTTTCAATCTTTCTTAATCTCATGGCACACTTGAACCTATAGTTAAACTCCACAGTACACTTAAATTATGTTTATTGGGGGGCACCTGTGGCTCAGTGGGTAGGGCACCAGCCCCATATACTGAGGGTGGAGGGTTTGAACCCCGCCCCAGCCATACTGCAACAAAAAATCGCCAGGCGTTGTGGCAGGCGCCTGTAGTCCCAGCTACCTGGGAGGCTGAGGCAAGAGAATTGCCTAAGCCCAAGAGCTGGAGGTTG